TTGATCGAGAGCTGAGTTGATGAGATAGCCACCTGTCATGACCACCCTGGGTGGTCTAATTCCTCCTAGCCAAACTAGTACGTCCACATTCGGAGGTACATATGTATGTGTATAAATAATAAATGTCAAAGGTCCATTTCATTGGGTTAAAGTTATCAAGTCCATTTTCAAAGGACTTTACAAGGGATTTAATACGTTCATGTTAAAACGCCTAATTAACAAGGAATTTAACAAGTCCATGTTTGACGGCCTTATTCATGAGTCCATGTTTGAAGGCATTTACAAGGAATTTAAAAAGTCCATGTTTGCGAGAGTTATTTCATAGGTCCTCATTCGAGGGCATCTACAAGTATGCGTGTGTGCGTGTGTGCGTGTGTGTGTGTGCGAGTGTATGAGAGAGAATCGATTTCCAACGTAATAAACAAATAGGGGCAGTGCAAATTTTAAGGTATAGTTAGAGCATGGACCTACCTACTTCTTAGTAGGTCCATGGTTAGAGCCTCCATCTCTATAGACCCTGTAAAGACGGCTATTTTGAAGGTTCTGAATTGCAAAAATTCGAGAGCGCCCCCTGGACCCGGACGAGGGCTCAACGGCGGGCCTCCCGACCCCGCCCCCCCCCCCCCCAAGATTACCCTTCGTGTCCTTGGGAGAGAAGGTGCGTGTGAGAGAGAAAGTGCGTGTGAGAGAGAATTATTTTCCATCGAAATAAAGCAATATAGTGGCATCGACGTCGACTAGAGTTTACACCTTTCCAGACAGCTATATCTTGAAGATTCTGAATGGCTTAAAGTCGAGAGCACGCATGGGCTTCGCCCCTGGACCCTACCCAGAAGGGCTCACGCTTACGCGTTCGAGGTGTGCTTTGATTACACGTTGGCCGTGCTCCTTGTGTAATCCTGGATCCGCCACTGGTTCTTGTGACTTGGTGTAGGTCTGTAGGCTACCGTACTTTGTCCATTATGAAGGTGACTTGTAAACTGTTTGGCGAAGAGTTAACATTCACGTTTATCGGAGAAAGTATAAAATAGCGATGGTGACTGGTTCTCATTCTTAATTCCTTACGGTGTTATGTTGTTGTTGTTTTGTTTGTTTTTTAACAAAGAAATGCTGCAATTCAAAAGAACAGTTGCTGATTAAGATTCATTATTTTTTTGTTTAAAATACATAGGTCATAGAAAAGGATTGCAGAATGACAAACCTTTATTTTACCCCTTAGTTCTGTATTTACCCCCCTCCCCCCTCCCCAACCAAAAAAAAAAACCCTTCGCCGGCGGATTTACATGTATATACAGTACAACACAGATGCGTACATAACGTGTGCATAGTACAGAGGTTTTATGTGTAAAAAGTTATCTGTACACTTATTAGATTGGCAATTCCACACATTGATGTACTTTGAATGAGCTACCTTCATTCCAGCACGACTTGGTGAAAACTAGCCTCACACAGTCATGATGAACAAGGTGGTGATCAGATGGTAACAAAATTGTTCACTGACGGAGAAGAATTATATATTTATTTGCTTTAGAGCAAGGTAGTAATTTTATACTCTGTGGGTTCTTTGAACATCTCTGGGATCGATAGATATAGGCCTACGTGTGCAATATAAAATGTAGCAATTATTATTATTAATATTATCATCATCTGCTTTTCGTAATGTCCATCAACATATCGAAGAAATATTTATTTTTGTTGGTATTTTCTTAGTAATGTTCGAGGAACTAAGACTAATATGGAACCAGGGTGTCGTGGAGAGTGGGTTAAAATCCCACATATCTGCCTACGTCATAAGCGCAATTCAATCCTACAAGCACGCTTGACAACTGAGCACGAACGAATCCAAATTAAGATCTCTTCAACCTACGCACAGACAGGTGGCCAATACCATCTCACTACTCAACAGTAATACACCCATGCGAGAAGATTCACCGAAGATGTGAATGCTTTCAGGAGGCTGCTGAAATGATAGCTTCATGAAATTATTAGCGAACTATTAATATAATTTAATCCCGGACGGAGGATTAAACAGCTGGTATTTTGGGTGTCCTTCATAAATAGAAATGACGTAACCACAATGCCTTTTAATATTCTGTTAATGTACTACCATGAATGAGGTCTGATTAAATATTTAGAACAACAAGAATTGTTTCAAGGAAGTATGGAGTTCTGGAAAACCGATTGCTTTTAAAATAATTATTGTCACTGGAAAATTGTTTTTAGATTAATACAAAATATTTCAAAGTCCTTCCTTCGTCTTCTTATAAAAAAAACAGTCAGAAAATGTATTCAAGGGCACCACATCAGAGGGAATAAAATGAATCTTACAATATATATTTACTGAATAAAATACTTAGAAGAAACTAATTCCTAGTTTGCATCATTACGGCTGTCATATTATGTCTTAATAAAAATGGTAGCTTTGTGGATTAGGGGTCATTTACCGTGCATAAGTTATTCTATAGCATAGAAAAGTCGTAATGAAAAACATTCCACAAATAAACTGATAGAATAATGATATGCGCAGTCACCGACAAAGGAAATCAGTTTGTTCCGCCTATGTATTAAGTTTCTTCCTCAGCATCTATTGTCAAACCTCTGCATAATGTAAAATTCATATAAATCTTCATTTTTTAAAAACCCATTGTTTTCTTCTATAGTTATCACGATTGTCCCATTACGAAAATCCATCGCTTACATTACATATTCGGCATGTCCGCAAACTTAGCAAAACCATTTTCGATATGGTGTCTTAAAAACACTCCCAACATTTCGATCATCATTCTAGCCTGAAGCAGAGATGCGAGTAAAGAGGAAATTAGTGGATAAATTAAATGCCACTCCTTTTTTCCCATCATGATAACCTGCTAACTAATAACTAGTGTTGTGATATTAACGTTATGCTTCACCATCAGGACAATAGGCCTACCATTATGTACATAGTTAATTGGCCCTATACTGTACTAGTGTCATGATTATTGTGTACTTACACATTTCCCGTCAATTTCAAAATTAAGTAATGTATTCAAATTATATAGGATTAACATTTGATCAAATCATCCTAAAAGTGCATGAATGTAATTCATTGGAAATACATGTTTACAAAGGAAAGCATATTTATCATGGGTTGTCACCAATTTATCTGCAGGAAGTAATCCAAGAATACAAACCATCACGCGATCTACGGTCACGTTCACAATTAAACCTCGTGTCTACTTCAGGGGCATCTCTTTCTTATGGTCATCGCTCTTTTTGCAAAGCCTCTGCTGAACTTTGGAACAAACTACCTTTACATGTCAAAAACTGTCAGACTGTCAATCAATTCAAAACTTAAAATTGCTTTTGATATATTAAGATAACTGTTTACAGGTATCTTTTATAATGTATTGTAATTTGTATAGGTTTATTCGTAATTTTTGTTTTGTTCATTATGCAATTTATTGTTTGTCATTGTATTTTAATTGTTATAGCACTTTGAGACTTCGGTGGTAAAGCGCTTTATAAGCACCGTTTTTGTTATTTTTATTATTATTACTAGTTGTGTATTCAGGGAAAGAATGTCCTATCGTGGATAGTCACTCCATCATGATATAACATCATATTTGACAAGCGCCCTCAACGTCAGGATAACTCTCGGATTCTATCCAGTTTCGTATGTTCAGTTCAGACCGCAACGCATATGCCATGAAATACCCCCCCCCCCCCCCCCCTTGGTATTTTTTGGGGTGTATTTTTGAGGAAAAACAAAACAAAACAAAACACAATGTACTGCATTTGAACAGTTACTATTCTACTTTGCAAAACAAAATATAAGGGACCAGCTATAGGCGTGAGACTTGGTAATGGTAGGTTTGGGTCGGTATCGTGGGCATCCATCTTGATCTACTGAAGATCTTAAGATCGTTTCAAACCGACTCGCGCTAGATACCTCTCGCGGCCGGCACAATACGACAGAAGCAACAACAAAAAACCACCCCTTTAAACGCGTTTTCTCAGTCACGCATGCTTACAGGTTTTATATTTGACTGAAACCCCCGGGTAATTTTGCAACCTTTTAATCAGTGATTTTGCAATACTTAGTGATTTGTGAGTTTGCGGTTCCTGACGCAATTTTTCGGATACGCGTTTAGCCTAAATAATCAAAATGTTTGAATGAAACACATAATTCTACACATAAGTACATAAAGTACTTACACTTTTTTTGTTATTTCAAAAAATGCGAAGAGCATGATCCACAATATCATCAAACAAAAATGATAACAATTTTAACGCGTAAATATTATTTATAAAATGAACGCCAAACCACAAAAACATCGAATCCAGTCTATTGCTAAGCAGTACACTAGTCAATATGGACAGTGACTGACTGGGCTTGGACCTTGACACCGTTTGGGCTCATTATTTACAGAATTTTGTAAATATTGGGGTCCGAGGCTGAACTAGGCCTACATCTAGCTTGGCGTATGTCAATTGAAGTGACTGCATAAGCTTAGTAATCGTGACTTGTATATATATATACAGGAGTTGAATTCTAAAAATAGTTTGGCAGTTTGGGTGGAGTCAAAACAAGGTACTAGTAGTACAGCCCCCTTTCGCTGAGCCAAACAGTCTGTAAAAGATATGCATTTTTATCTGTTCACCGTAGGCTAGCGAAAATTTTGTTTGTCTTCTCACTTCTGCTCAATCTAGGGTTGCCAAACTGCACATCGTTGGTGTCGGTTTGTCTAAATTTTGATCTTTAAAAAAAATATTTAATATACTTTTACTAATTTAAATAATTTTTTTAGGACAATCAATATTAATCAAGATTTTAAATGCTACTAATAATATCACTTTATCTTTAACATTTTAGAATTTCTTTATAGAATCATATTTAGAGCTAAATTGGCACCACCAAGAACGGACTTGTTTACTCAACGAGCTAGCTAGCTACTCGGGGTAAAATGTACTGTGTGTGTGTGTGTGTACGTTGCATGTACTACTTGTGTGTGTGTATGCACTATACCCATTAACTCATTGTAATAGTTTGGCACAATACGCACGTCGATTCACTAGCAGCGAGACTCTGTCATGATTTTATAATTCCGCGAGAATTATCCCATTTGATAAATGGATTGGAACACCTTGTCATTCTAATCTATTCAGAGAATAAGCTCGAGATTATTTGAGACAATTTTAAGGTATCAATTTTGTGTTTACAAAGCTATTTTGAAGAGGTTGAATCCGTCCGGACGTCCGCAAGCGGAGCAGTCACCATTGATTACGCCGCAACCAACCCTGTAGACGTTCATCAGTTTCGCTGGGTTGTCACGCAGTCTCTTACTCGATAGGTCAATCGTGAACATTCACATTGCTGTCATTTTATTTCATCTTACATGCAAGTATTGGAGGTGGATCTTGATTGTCTAGATTTTCTTGATTGTTCGAGCATCTCATACCGACACATGACAGCACTGATTATAGTCAGTGCTTTGCTTTGCAAGTTTCATACAATGGGTTTTCTGAACGAATAAATTCAAGTTTGACCAGCAACCCCAACATTTTCCTGCCGCTGACATTCCGACACTTTATAGCAGATGGGCATGGAGGAAACAAACGGTGCTACTTCTACTACTTCTACTTCTGCACCTGCTAGTACTACCAAAGCAACGATGAAGGTCTACAAGATAGTATTACTTGGACAGGGAGGTGTAGGGAAAAGTGGTGAGCATCAAATTACTAATTAATTCAGTTTTTTTATATTTTTTTTATAGAGTCTAGATTTCTTCTAGGCCTACTTTACAGTTATTTGTTTTGTTTTGTCTATTTTTGTTTGTTTTGTTTTGCTTATAATATCTATCACCAGCTTCCCACAAAATGTGACATCTTTGTCTCCTGGTAATACCTTGAATACCTTGAATACCAAAGCTTCTGGAAGAAAGCCGTCTCCAGCTGCCAAGCTTCCAGGTCTAACTTCAAGGGGGGGGGGGGTGACAATTTATAAATATACAGGTGATTGTTGTGTATCGTGTGAATCAAGTAGTTTTCTGATACTTTGGTGAAAACAACAAACAGGGGCCAACATGGCCTGTAACTTGTAAGGCAGGCTGCACTGCACTGGAAGTTACAGTGAAGAAGACAAAGAGGAAGAAGAAAAGAATGAAGAGGAGGAGGAAAAGAAAACTGGAAAGGAGAAGAAGAAGGAAATGAAGAAGCAGAAGAAAATGAAGAGAAGGAGGAAGGAGGGGAGGGAGGAGTTGGGAAAGGATGAAAAGAGGAAGAAGAAAAAACATCCACCCTGGACGAAGCACCCCTGGACAACTAGACCTGGTCGAGTTGTCCACGGTATTGGGTCGGGTTGTCCAGGGGCGGGTCGTCTCGACCCCGTATAATCATGTATGTACATGTTTTTGAAAAATATGATTTACCTTAGGCCAATAAATCTGGCTAGGTTTAAATTGCATATTTGATAAAGATGAGTTGTAACCAAAATGTCATACTGAGTAACTGTATTCATAATATTTGAACAGATGTAAATTACACATCAATGTCTATTGTCTACACTCTTGACACTCTTCTCTGTACTTTTGTAGGTTACTTTTTAATGCAGATATTGCTATGAAGCCATTTAAAGAAAAAAAGATCCTGATGTACAATGAGAACCTTTTTTTAAAATTTGCATTAGAAATAACTGCATGTCAAATTGCGATTCCAGGCATTTTCTGTTGAAATAATCTTATAGTACATGTACATGTGGATAAAATTGTTACAGATTTCTAATTTGCAGGCTCAAACAATTTGGGAAATAATAGATTTTTTTGTTAGATTATGTTTTTAATCAATTGTCGGGTCTAATATTGTGCTATAGAATGATATAAAAATTTAAAGTTTCCTGATGAGTTATTGTCAAGTTTTGTCAACTTATTTTCTTGCAGCTGCAGTCAATTCTACATTCAAATTTTATGATATTAATAATATTTTCTTACTGTTCCTGTAGCACCTTACCAGTTTTAAAACCAACCAAACGGCTTACAAACACAATACAAAATGACAAATGTTTTCAGGTCTGTCTTCTATCCCTCTCTTTCTCTCTTACTGTCTCTGTCCATCTCCCTCCGTCTCCCTCTTTCTCTCTCTCTCTTTTTCTCTCTCTTTTTTTTTTCTCTCTCTCTCTTTCTCTCTCTCTCTCTTTTTTCTCTCTCTTTTTTTTTCTCTCTCTCTCTCTCTCTCTCTCTCTCTCTCTATCTGGTCTACAGTGTAGCTGGTTAATCAACTTCATAATTCAATAGCTGTACATGTAGATGTGGGCAAGCCTAAATATTCAAATAATTTAATAAATTATTCATATCGAACAATGTTCCTCAAGAATGTATACATTACATGTAGATATCACTATTGGACTTTTCCTGTTATAGGTATTTAATGTGTGTGTGATTAAAAATATTAAAAAAAGAAAACAACTACATGTATATTGAATACTCCAGCCTTATGTTTTGTACATACATGTACATGTAGTCAGCTACAATACAGTTGTACAGTATGTACATGTAGTTTAAATCTCTCTTTTGTTGAATACGTGTTTTTACATTCTCAAGTTGATTTTGGTGTGCCTTGTACTGTACATGTATGCTGACTATGTTCAAAAGTTATTTATGATCTGCAGTTTCATAAAAGTTTGTAAACCTCAGAAATAAGAGGGAAAAACAACTTATCGGTAGACGGTAGATTTTGTTTATGTTTTCAACTTTTCAATAATAAAATGCTACTGAGTCCATTTGTAAAAGGAAAAGATCATGTTTCTTTAGAAAGAAGAAGGAAGAGGGGGCGAGAAAAGACAACAACAAGTAGTCAAGTACAATTGACAAGTTGACATCTTGTGCATTTTCAGGCTACACCGATTTCTAAATTCATGTCCATGTTTATGGATGCTTTGAAAGTTTGAATACATCTGTTCACCAAAAGCAAATACCATTTGAAGTACGTCACACAGTTGAATAAGTCTACCTTTTGTGCAGTAGCCAGTAGCTGCATCAGTTCATGCATGTTTTTTAATTGTGTTTGAGTTCTGTGAAAATGGTTTGTTTACAGCATTCTCCCTGCATCAGTGAGGCAGTAAAAGAAGAATGCACGCAATAAGGACATGCATATGTATTCACAGCAACCTGCATTTTGTACACTACACCTATATAGTATAAGTTACAGCAGATTACATCAAATTACAAGTATATGTACATGTATCCCTGTTATTCAGCTGTAGTATAAAACAATACTGGTACTTTTGTGTGCCATCACTTGGATTTCATTCTTATCATTAATAACACTACCCTGGATGCAACTGTGGGCTTTGTGTATGACAAACCGTTAATTTGCAGTTCAACCCTCGTAAATAAGTGCAGGGTTTCACATCTGCTGTGCTTATCCTAGCCTGGCCTGGCCTGGGGAAAGTGAAGGACTGATATGATTGATAGTTAGCCATCAATCAGGCTTGCACAAATCAAAGAATATAATACATGTACATGTACACTGTACAGTCAGACTTGCTTTAGAGACCACCTGTCTACAAAGGCCACATTTGTTGTTTCCCTTGAAAATGGTTTCTCAGTGAATCTTGTACTAAAGGAACCTGTCTACAAAGGCCACTTTCTGTGTTTCCCTCGGGTGGTCGCTATAGACAGGTTTTACTTTATATAGTTATACCTGTATGAATGGTTTGAAACCTACTGTACAGTGTACTTGGCTAGAATTCTAGTACCGGTATTTGATTACAAGCTCCCCCCCCCCCCCCCTACCATGTACCACCCATGCACACATAATTTGATGCCATATGTGTACACTGTAGACATGTATCATGTACAATACTGCATGTACAAGTAACTGGTACAGTATGCATAGTACATGTGTATGTACATACATGTAGATGTAGATGTACATACTGAATGCTACATGTACATGTACACTGTACATGTAGTGTAGTACATTTACATGTACTATTGCGACATTTCTATTTTTTGTGAATATAAGGAAAATTCACTTAACTGTCTAGAATACAACAGCTGTTTGATTGCATTTATTACACAGGTTGCTTTAACAGCTAACAAGTCAGTTTGTCAGAGAATTACCAGATGTAGCGACAGACAGTGAACATATACATTCATGTATGCATGTACATGTATCTGCAAGGAGCAATATTTACAAAATACAAACCCTACAGTATACAGTAGTAATGTTTTATACAGGGCACACATTTAAAATTTTCTCAGGTACATGTACACTGTACTGTGTTCCTATGCTGACCAGGTCAGGCATGAGGCCAATAACAAAGGGGGAAACAAGAAACTCACAGCCTCTCCCTGTGACTGCAGAGTGACCAATGCTTTGTTCTATTGTTCCCTTTACAATGAATGACCGAGGTCCCGCCCTAGTTCCTCAAAACAACAACAATGATCTAGCTCTCACCCTGGGTCTGACCGTACTAGGGTGTGGGGGTCACCGCCCTGGTTCTTCATGTATGTCACTGTGTGTAGGGGGGTGGGGGTGGGGTCACTTTCTTACAAAATGTGCAATTACTCATGAACCATACTTTGAGAGTGTGTATATATTTTGGACCAGGTACATGTACATGTAGGCATAACATCTGTACATGCAGTGCAGTGTACCAGACTTGAGCTAAAATACATATGTACATGCTCATATAGGCTCTGCATACATACTATACATTAACATACAAACATACCGTAGGCCTACATGTAGAAATGTTTATCGGTACACGGAAATACAACTGGAAAAAAATGAGCATTTCAAAGACAGTGTGCACAGGCTACATACGGGTGGTGGTTCACAACATGAATTGGTGCATCTGTATGTATTGTACAACTGTACATGTACACATTATACACAAAATATAACAAGGGGTCATCACTTCCCAGGGTCTTGAGAATTGTATACAACTCATCTACATGCACATGTACTGTATGTATGTAAATGTAAACCTGTACTTGTACTGGTACTTTTAATGTATCTACATGTACATTATGTACCTGTATAGTGTAGCATTTCCCTGCATATTTCTTTACTGATGGTTTGTGTAATTCAGAGAAAAAGAGAGCTGAACTTGAAAAAGATCTCGAAAATAATGCACAGTATGATATTGTATTGTACATGTACATGGGTATAAGACTAGAGAATAAAATATAATCCTATTTCTTTTTCTCTCTTTCATTTATCTGTTTACTAGCTTTGACACTTCAGTTTGTGACACACAGCTTCCTGGAGTACCATGATCCTACAATAGGTAAGTTCAACAAATCTTTGCAGACAGGTGTGCTTTGTACAAAAGGGAGATGGAGTTTTTACTGTAAATTACTCAAAGACTGAATGCAGGGTAACACCCCTCCAGTCAAGATTTTATAATTTTTTTTTTTTAAATTTTGCAGAAAAGGTGAGATGTTTTTTATGATAGTTTCAATTTGTGCTAGCAGAGATTTTTCTACTAGTAGTAGGAGACCAGCCTGTAGGTCCCGTGACCAATCTCGGGGAACAAAGGTTTGAAAGTGTTTTTGTGTTCCCTGATGAATACCCAACAATTTTGACTTGGGCTGCCCCCTTGAAAATCCCAGGCATTTTCGTGAGGGGTCAACAAACGTCATACAGGGTAGAAATTAAAATATATTCCAATCGTGTCGATATGCATATCAAATTACTCGTCTGGTCATGAGAATTCAAAAAATGTATAGTTTGCTATACCTCCGACCTTAAATGAGGGCGCTATGGTCAAAAACGTTGAAAGGTCAACACACTTTTGACTGGTGGTCAAATTCACCAACACGGTTAACCTTATCAAATTTCAAATTAAATTACTCGTCTGGTCATAAGGATTACAAAAATGTATAGTTTGTTATACCTCTGACCTAAATGAGGGGCTATGGTAAAAAAGGTCAATGCACTTTAGACTGGTGGTCAAATTCACCAACACAGTTAACATCATCCGATTCTAATGATTTTAGTGTCTAATAATATGTTTTCTGACATAAAAAATTCAACTAAGCAACTTTTAAAACCAAAAGTGGTTGCCATAACCTTGAAATTTCCCTCTAACCCATGGATAAGAAGTTATATATGTTTGTCACCGAAACGGCAGCCATTTTGAATGTACATGGTCAAGGTAAGCACTTTTACTTTTGAAAGTTGTATAGTTGAATTTTGCCGTGTCAGAAAACATATTATTAGACACTAAAATCATTAGAATCGGATGATGTTAACTGTGTTGGTGAATTTGACCACCAGTCTAAAGTGCATTGACCTTTTTGACCATAGCGCCCTCATTTAAGGTCGGAGGTATAACAAACTATACATTTTTGGAATCCTCATGACCAGACGAGTAGTTTGATATACAATTTGATAAGGTTCACTGTGTTGGTGAATTTGACCACCAGTCAAAAGTGTGTTGACCTTTCAACGTTTTTGACCATAGCGCCCTCATTTAAGGTCGGAAGTATAGCAAACTATACATTTTTTGAATCCTCATGACCAGCCGAGTAATTTGATATGCATATCGACACGATTGGAGTATATTTTAATTTCTACCCTGTATGACCTTTGTTGACCCCTCACGAAAATGCCTGGGATTTTCAAGGGGGCAGCCCAAGTCAAAATTGTTCGGTATTCATCAGGGAACACAAAAACACTTTCAAACCTTTGTTCCCGAGATTGGTCACGGGACCTACAGGCTGGTCTCCTACTATAGTGCAGTGCCCTTGTTTATCTATCAATCTTGAACCAAATCACTCTCTCTTTCATTGCAATCTTTTTACTAGTATGTATGTGTTATAGATATAAAAGCAGCAAAATGTAAGAACTGCATTGATTATAAATGTATGTAAGGCAAATAAGTGTAAGCATACAAAACACACCCACAAATAGGCCAAATAACGGCCACTTACATGTATGTAGGTTGCAGCTTGGTGCCCTGTAGTCGAACATACCTAGGTAAACTTTCTACTTCTAATTGTTCCTGAATAGACCCTGCTGTGGTTTCCTGATCTTTTCTCTATTTATCTGCACAGGATATGTGTCATAGTACTACTAGTAGTGTTGGCTTTATTGTCATGCTGCCCGCCTCAGAAGTCACTCTCTACATGTACACGTACATCACAGCATCTCACATTGAATCAAATCCATAAGCCTACCGCTGCCACCTCTTTTAATAGTTAATGTCCATTGTCCAAACTCCCTCAAAGATGCTTGTAGCTCGCACCATGATCTTGGGTCTTTATTCACAAAGCATACATGTACATGTAGTTTCCAAGGCGATATATTTATGTATGAACAATGCTGCCAATAATGGGTGATTGAATAAATATTCATACCAATTCCAACCAATATTCAAGAGGTATGCCAGCCTTGTACATGTACATGTACATGTACTTGCATGTTCAAAGGTACTAAAATTTTCTAATAAAAATATGTTTTTTCATTTTGGTTATTATCATAAATATACCTGACATGTATGCTTATAAGTTAGATGTAAAACCTTCTTTGACTGCTAATATTAATGGGTTTCTTTGTTTCTGGTATAAAAGAGAGTGCTGTAGAATATATCTTTGTTTTTGCCTCCTTCTCCCTGTAGGCCTGAGATCTCTTTTTGCATGTCATACTTGTTTTGCATTCACCTCTCTCTCTATCTCATTTCCTGCATTTATTAAACCTCAGAGGCAAAAAACAAAAACAGAAATCTGAAGTACATGTGTATTCACACCACAAGGGTATAAAATACTGTTTTACTGTAGCAGTTTGTATAACCTTTTTAAAATGTTTACATTTTTTCATATTAATAAAAGGATCCTTCCATGGAGCAAGCCAGGCTGTTATCTTGAATACCTTGATTTTGCCATGCTCTCTGATTTATATCTTGAAGGCAATAGAATCAAATTAGAGGGACTTACATGCATCTCTCCTTTGCATGAACTCTGTCGTCCTGTTCAAGTGCCCTCGTCAAGTCGTAGACGGGCGGCACGTACAGCCTAGATAAGAGCTCCAATCTACGCACAGGGAGCAGTAATTGACTGTGAGAGAGTGTTTTGGCCTCTCTCTCTCTCCCTCTATCTCTCTTTCTCTCCCTCTATCTCTCTCTCTCTCTCCCTCTATCTCTCGCTGCACGTCATACTTGTTTTGCATCGGCCTCTCTACATTTCCTGCATTTATTAAACCTCAGAGGCAAAACAATAAGAAAAAGAAAGAAAAAATATATGCTGTTCAACACACAGCCCAGTTCCCACCCACTATCTGTTTGTACATTCTGCATAAATGCATGATCTTCAGGTGAAAAAAATCCATGTGCCTTCGATAATATTTGGAATTTTGAATCAAATTTTGACTTGATTTTTTGTTTCCTTTACAAAAAAAATGTTTTTGCTAAGCTATCTATGCATGCGATTGTTGTATTGCTCGAGTACATTAGCCGTACGATAAATGTAGGCTTATATTCTGGGAAAATGGCCTGGTGAGATACTACAAAACAAATTGTCTAGTACCGCCCTTTGTACAAGTATCCCTGGTAAAAAGCGCTTTGTAAATCCAGAGGTTATTATTATCACCATCACAACTCTCTTACCCTAATATAAAATGACTGTATCCCAGGTACTAATTCCCTCGTTCCTTTATAATTACTGAGAACCCAACACTTCTAATAACAATGCAAGTGCAGGCTTGTTGTGAGAAGATCCGGGATCATAGTTTCATATACATTTCAATATTTGTCTTCATTTATGAGAGTCCTGGCTTTCAGGAGTGAAAGCAATCAAGGAGATGAATTAGGACAAGAAGAATAAACCCTTTGATTTTCAATTCCAAAGGTACTTGTAACCTTTAAACAAAACCTGGACTTTGGACTTGTTTTTACTTGATTTTCATTCATTTTACCTTTAAAGACCGTCAATACTACTGGGCCACAGGGGATTAGACCACACAGCGAGGTCACTGATAGGTGGCTATCTCATTAACTCCGCTCTCAACTAACATAAGAAAAAGAGGATCATGAGGGATCAATAGGCACCGATTAGGCATTGTTTGCTATATAGAGGGCACAAGTAGCTATAAGTAGTGCAGTGGGGCTTTAAAGCAATACCACCTACAGATGAACAAAATTGTTTCAATGGGTGCTTGTGTCGGAGTATCTGGGTCCTGATCTTGCCCTAGCTGGCTTGCCCCCTTCAAGCCCCTTGCCCTTGCCCTTATATACTGTACATGTTGTAGAATGTACTTGTAAATGGTGTTTTCATAAAATTGGACATCACCTTGCAAAGATAAAAACTTGACTTTTCCAACCTAACCCACTATAAACATACCTACATTTATTTTAGTAGATGTACATTTACCTGTAGGCTACAGTATGCAGCAATTACATTTTGTTCAGTAACATGTTATCTTTTATAGTGCTCTGAAAAGGCTGAAAGGTGCTTGTTGTTTTGAATTTTCAATACCATTTTTCTCTTATTTCTACAGAGGATGCCTATCTCCAGCAGGCGGTCATCGATGGGGAAGTGGGTCAACTGGACATCCTAGATACAGCTGGACAGGTAAACAAATCTTATACATAAATAAAATGGTATCCTATTACAACCTACATGTACTATAGTATCATCTGATTGGAGCTAGATGGGCGTTGACTCTGTGTAAAATGATACAAATGAATGCCCTTCTGTTCTGGCTTCAAACAGATGATACATGCATGATAATAGTACAGGGCTAGCAAGTAGCAGTTGCCAGGCAGAAATTGACCATCTTGAAACAGGGCTCCACCCTAAATTTTTCTTTCTTTCACATATATTTTTGGCAGGGGAGGGGGGGGGGCTGCCTATTTAAGTCCCGCCTTTAAAGGCTTTATGTGTGGTGATTGCATTTCATCTATAAGTTCTTACGTAATGAATATTCTTATTACATGTACATGTACGTGTGAATAAATTGAAGCGACCATCAAAAGTTAGATACCTCATGTGAAAGCAAAAATGAACTAAAGCTGCATGAACTTCATGTAAATACTAATCAAATTAACAAGAACAATATAGTTTATACACACATAAAAACAATGAGAAAGCAAATAAGAAAAATCAGACTTTCTAAATCCCCTAGAGAGCGGGGAATGAAACTTGCCTGCACACTTGATGAAACTGTGTTTATGTGGGTCAGTTTAAAACAATGCAAGGTAACAGGAAAGGTGGAGATATGAGACTTTTCCTCTCTAAATATAGCCATCCAACAAAAAAGAAAAAAGGGTTTAGCTCTTGCCCAACTGGTAATTCTGGACATCATGTGCTCTACATGTACATGAAACTAGCAATAATAATTGAAGCATTATTTAGCAGTTGTGATGTTTTTATGCCGACATGACATTGAAATCAGAACCTGAAACCATGAGTTTATTTCATCACTTTTGTACCTTTGTATAAAAACAGACCTTCACGCTTGCACCATTAAACATGTATGTACATGTACATGTACATGTACATGTACCAAAATATAAACTTCTAACCGTATAGTTGTAGTTTGGAATTCTTAATAGACATTAGACAACCACTTACTTTATCTTAATCATGTGGCCAGTGTAAAACATCCATTGGTCGTATCATTTAAACTTAATTCCCTTCTTCCAGTGGTCTTATCAGTAAATATTCAGTATATGATGGATGATCATGTACATTGTAGGTGGGGGGGGCACAGTTGAAAAGATATAATGTTCCTATTGTGGGGGATACATGTTACTTCTCACAACCAAATTTCTACATCCTGTTGTGTACCAATTAATATTTGTGAAATAGATTTTTTTCTTGTGGTTCATACTGATTTCCTAGAAAGAGGGAAAAGGGGTCTGAAAAACTCTGAATATCATTCAAAATTGAGCAGGGAAAGGGTAGGTTCAAAAGATATGACATGCGCAGCGACCACTAAATTGTTGTAAAACCAGAAAGTTCATGAACATGTATACGGTAAAGCTTGCAAGAAACTTGTGTAATAAAATGTAAGTGGCCTACACATTTGCAAAAAATAGATACCTGTACATGTATATAATGATGTACAGCATACATGTGTATGTACAGTGTACATGTAATTGAATTACAAAATGGATTCTGAATTTCAAGAATTTTTGTCCAGCAAAAAGAAGCTGCATTTTTAGCTAATGACCATAGGTTTTGATTTCACAGTTTAGGTGTATGGGCCTATTAATTAGGCTTTATATTAACAAGTAAATTTACTAAGCTTGCAACCTTAAAAGAACTAAATATGAATTTGAAATTGTAATACTTTAGGATTTAGAAACCTTGGTGTCCATTCTTCTTTTGTTGATCCATGGACTAGCAATTTCATTAGAGGCTAGCTATATTTATACTTTCAAGAGCTCACTCCCCGGAACCGCACCTCAGGATTTAGATTGAAATCAGTCTACATTTGTATTATACTTGGTATTCTAAACAGTCCTCAGTCAGTCTTCAGCCTCGGATTTAAATGATTTTCTTCATTTCTATTTTCTATTCCATGGTATACTCCCAAGCTTATCTCTAAGCTAGGGTACCTCTACAACACCCATCTTAATACACCCCTTAAGCTGGAACACCCTGATTAATTCACTCCAATCTGTCAGAGAGATATCATTTCCTACTGGGTTCCCATGTGTTTCTATCACACTCCCGATCAGCCCATTTTAATGCTATATCACAGGCTCTATGCATGTCTGACTGACGTTCGTAGCCTGACCCCCAGAAAAAAATTAGTTTCACCACTTTTCACAGTTGCTATGCACATGTACAGTGTAGTTCTTCATATAATACTCTCTTTTTTTGGGGGGGGGGGGGGGTCCATAGTTAGATTTTGGGCGCCCCTAGTATCCTGAGTACTTGTTAGTGTCAAGCAAGCACTGCAATAGGCCTTACAGTTACAGGTGTACATTTCATTATAATTTATGAGGTAGAATTAAAAATATCTAATTTTCTACCCATTTGGTTTGGAAAGATTGCAAAGCTAATCATTCTACTTCATACACTGTAGATGATATTGAAATGTCCTGCTGTCTTTCCACATTTTAATACAGCTAGGGCAAAGATAATGATTAAAGGGATCGTTTAACAATGTTAAATCTGAGATACACAGCCCTACGCGTTATCAGTGTCTGTGATATGGTGTAATATTGAAGCCCTAAAAAAATTGTGCTTCAAAATGATCAAGAAGTGCCTCAAAAAAGTAAAAATCTTTGAGTGACCGGTTTTACCATACTCTTTTCCCCCAATAGACTGTAGTGTTATGAAAACCGTCCGGCGAACGGTTTTCAAAATTTGTAATTCCAATCATAAATATCTTGATAATCAGACAAGCGATCGGCTTGTAAAAGTCATGGGTTTCCTGACTGAGCTAAAGGTTTATAATTATCATTGCAGCATGAGCTAAATCCAGAATTTTGTTTCAGAATCTGAGACAAAGCTACCGGATCCCTTTAAATTGCCCAGGATAAAACATTTAAATGTGAAAACAGGATTTACAACTTTAGAAAGCTATTTTTATTTTAAACATTTTTTTGCATCACCTTCAAGGTTGGAAATTAGAGACATTGAGTCTTGATCAAAGTGTCTCGTTGATCAAGACATCGAAGGTGACCCGGGGGTCATTCAGATCCAAAATGTGAAAGCTTTTATTGTTACTTCAGCTGCATGAAATGTGGTCCACTTCAAAACAAATAAGTAGATTGAATTCATGCCCTTGGGTGTTCACTCCGCACACAGACTTGAACTTTACAATTCCCAGGACGGTGGAGAGGTTAGAGTTCTTGTTTCTATCCCACCCTCTAGGTTCATTGGGTGCCATGTGAGACGTTATACGGCCTGTAGTTTAGAACTATTTGTCCCATTAATGCAATCCTAGAATGCAATCTGAACCTGGCAGTGATTGTACAAAGTTTGGTTTTGTTTGATATGTGATGATCATGGGAATAGGACAGACTCTGTCTTCTCAGACTGAAACTGCTTTTAATGATGGAGATTGATTGGAGCTACTTTCAAGAGGTTAACTGCATCTCTTGTTTTCAAGACTATACATAAATAGATACAGCATGTATCTTACATGTATGTGATTAATTGCACTTAGAAGCAAGCTATTGCTTTAGATTTACTTTCTAATACTAGATATAAACAAATATAAAGAGTTCTAGTAACCCGGTACTCTTGTTTTCTTTTATTTGAAGTACTGTACATGCATATACATGTACATGTAGGTCTAGTGATAACAGTTGCTTGCCACTTTTCTATCTATTGTTCGGAATACCAGTTGTCAGTTACTTGCAGTGCTTACGATAAAACTTTTTTGGTGTTGCTACATGTACAGGTAGGCCTAGGCCTAGTACATGTACATGTACACTAGAGTACTTATGGCATAGTCTGACGTTGTACATGAAATTTTCAGTATTGCACTAAATGATGACATGTTGATATACAGTTTTTAAATAAATTATGGTGTTTCTAGTTGTACATTCATTATCAGAGTTCCTAGCATGTTAGAAGTCTGTTCTATAATATATGCAATAGAAGGCATCTTTGCCAGTTTACATGTACATGTAGCAAGCCTACGTGACAGGGATGGTTGTGAATTTACACTTACAGAAAGTTACAGCAACCAATCCCATTTGACACATACCTTGGGCTAATCATTCACACACGCCCTACTACATGCATGCATACACCAGAGTTGTTTTTATTTTTGTATCTGATCATGTGACTAACAAAGGGGATAAGGTAGCCTGTATTCCACAAATAAATCACAATGCAGTTATGAATCATCCCTTGCTATCTTGCTCATACAAAAACACCCAATTTGTGCACTCAGTGGTTGACAAGTCGGTTAACCTACAGAGATGCACGCTATTGTGTGCTGCTAACCTCGTTCATTCGCTGGCTGTGCCTGCACAGAACCCATTATTCATGTGCAGCGAGTGTTTTCAAACAGCCCTAACCGCAAGCGAGCTCAATGTACACACATATAAAGTAGAGGCTGCCTCAGACCTGCATGCATTACTGAATCATCTCTAAGAAAGATTCCATAACTCTACATTTTATGACCACATCTACATGTGAGAGATGCGTAATTAAGGGATTTTATTTTCCTTGAATTGACTTCTGTGTGATAGAGGTGCAGGGTGGTTGTGTACTATAGGCAAAGTAAATGAAATGCAATGCATTGTAGCTATGGCTGTAGAGAATGAAAGAAGACTAATGTTGACCTGTAGCAGTGAGTTAGCGTCTCCTAGCCTAGCTGGCTGGCTGGCTGGGTGGCTGGCTGGCTGGTGGAGCAAGCAGGGTGATTGTATTACCCCTTTGTGAGAGGCATGATGATGACATTGAACCAAGACAGTCAATGCTAGCTACCCTGGATGGATAGAGGCTGCCTGAGAGATAGATCCCTGGGAATGGAGGGAGGGAGGGAGAGGGAGAACCGAGAAGGCAGGGAGTGGGGTACAAAGAGGAGGAGGAGGAGGGGGTATACACATTGTATGGGCACTCTGCATTGGAATGGGAGAGAGAGAGGGGGATTTAAAGAAAAGGAGGGGCAGGTAGACAACTAGACAAAAGAGGAAAAGAGAAAGAAAGAAAGAAAGAAAGAGAGAGAAAAGGGGGAGGGAGGGAATAGAGGAATAAACACAGGAAGGAGAGAGAGAGAGAGAGAGAGAGAGAGGGAGATAGATACCAGGTCTATACATTGCATATTATAAAGTACTCATAAGAAGATATTAAATTGCAGATATATTGAACAAAGAGATGCCCCCTCATGTCAATTTTTATTCAGAATGACAGATAGATTAGAGGGTAATGACCTGTAAGAGGAGATGGGGTATTGTTACAAGAAATACACAAAGGAAAGAGGTCAAGTCCATGCTAATGCACAGTCATGTTTTAAAATTTATACCGTAATCACTTCAGGTTTATTTTCTTTGGGTGTAGGTTTTTATTTCCATTTTCAGTTTTCAACGTTTTTATGAAAGGGAAATGTTTGTGAGGAAATAAACAATGGTGCTTTTCATTCAAACTCTATCTAAAGTCCTTACATGTGTAACATTTGCTTTTGGTATATTCCATCATAGATATGAGGTGCAAGTTATTTTGAATGTTCGTTGTATAGGACATACCGGTACATACTGTAAGGCTTAGGGATTGGTATAATGTTTGGCTCAGGTTTTAAGTAAGGAAGCTGACCAGTGGTACATGTAGTTGTTGACCTTGTTTTTGCTGAAAAATTAGTCGATCATTTCCCTTTGTTAAAAACATGTTCATGCAATTCTTGTTTTAATCTCTTTGACGAGCTGCTTTTACAGCTGTGGTAAACTAATTAATAATGTTGCCATTATTCTTGTTTTTTAAATTTTGTTTGACAGACCAAGTTGTACAATTAGGGAAATTCCCTTTTTTCCTTTTGTCTCACAGGCTGAGTTCACAGCAATGCGTGACCAGTACATGAGGAGGGGCGAAGGATTCATCATCTGTTATTCTATCACTGATAGGAGAAGCTTCCAGGAGGCTGCAGAGTTTAAGAAAGACATTGAAAGAGTCAGAAACACCGAGGATATACCCATCGTCCTTGTCGGAAACAAGTATGACCTCGAGCACTTGAGAGTGGTATGTACATTCAGTTCTCTTTTTTGTTTTCTTCTTCTTCAATTCAAAACAGTTCAGAGTTTTGTTTTTTTCTAAATTAATCAATTTTCCCTCTTTAAAATAGCAACCATTAAAAATTATTTTCTACTCCTTCATATTTAGAATAAGAAAAATGGGCTAGTACATGAAGTTGTTTGAAAGGTTGGACTTTTCTTTAAAAGGGAAGAAATTAACAAACAGCAACATGTTTGTAGAATAAATTGAGAAAAAGGAAAGGCCTAAAAAAAATTGGATTGCCCTTTGCGACCGACCCAAAAATCTTGAAATCTATGGTCGGCTTTTTAACAAAGTTTTTTTTGTTACTGTTTTTTTGAGAAAAAAAATATTAAAGCATTCAAAACTGAAAAAGAAACGGCCCAATGAGGGGGAAGAAAAAGATTTCCGACCAACCAACCCATGTTTTGGCACCTAAAGGGCAATACAACATCTTTTCTTTAGGCCTTATGTAGACCCTCATGAATTCATTTACATGTAACTGTGTTTATGATGAACATTATTTTCTAGAGCATACATTGTATCTCTTTGTCTTTTTCTCATTTCTAGGTGCAACCTGAAGAAGGTCATGCGTTGGCTCGAGAGTTCAACTGTCCCTTCTTTGAGACCTCTGCAGCTCTGAGGCACTTTGTGGACGACGTCTTCCACACGTTGGTCAGAGAGATCAGGAAAAAGGAGCGAGCGGAGATACAAGCGCAGGAGAAGCGATCGAAGAGAAAGAGCCGCGGCATGAGTCTGCACAAGATAGCCAGGAGGGTGTTTAAGAAGCAACACAGTGAGTCGTCATCATCGTGAGCCAAAAAGTGACAGAGCAAATTAATCGGAGATCAGAGACTCCCCCTCCCTGCTCCTCGCACGCTCTCTGTGTTATGTGTGTGACTCAAGCTAGGGAGTGGCAACCTGCAATGCGTCTGTGGTTTGTGTGTCATCCCGAGTAAATTATTGAATGGCTTCTTCTTCGTCCGTCGTGTGAGGGATACGGCGCCCCCTAGAGGGAGGTGCATCATGGGAGACCTTGCAAAGAGGACAGACCCCCATGAGGTCTGCCATCCTGGTTAATTAACTAGTGTGTGTGAATGGTGAGGAGAGGCTCCACAAACACAATCTGCTAGCTCCTCACGATGGTTGTCTATGCGTCATTGAGAATGGCATGGAGCACGACACCTGTTGGACAGATGGAACTGTAAAGGAAAAGAAGGGTCAAAAGGTCGCTGAAACACATGAATGTGAAGAGAGGACCAAACTAATAACAATATGTATGCTGCCAAGCTATCTCCAAAGTTATGGACTCTTGAAAAATATTGGGAAAAGAGCCAGAATAGTTGAAGGTCGACAGGACTTTCAGTTTCTGATGCTAATGCTGCAAAGGTTAGGAACGAGAAAGCTGCTTCAGACTGCTTGAGGAAGTGAATGCCTTGGATGATTTCCTTTTTATAGAGTTTGATGGAAAACACCAAAAGACATTTGATACAAGAAATGATGCAAAAACTGTGCAAATGTGGACAGATGATGAAATTTGAGTCAACCACTTAATGTTTTTGCATGTTAGATGAATTTTTGAAATCTTCTTTGTTATATGTTTGTGTTTCTTTCTGTAGCCATTCTCCCAGTGTGGTCTAATGTTCAGATTGTCTCTTGCATGAAGTAATGTGTCATCTGTCTGTGTCTGTTTCTAGTGGTGTGTTTTTGTAAATGTATTGTAACTTTATAATAAATGTGTCTCTAACAGTGAATCGAGCTTTGAAGGGAAAGTGTACATTTAGATTTGGGAAAATGGAAATGAAAATTAAACTGATATATGTGCCATACAAGTGAATGCTTCATATTACTTGTCAGCAAGTAGTGAACTTTGGTTAATGTTTCACCAGCCAAATGGCTCAAGGACCTTCTACCTTAATAAACATGGTCCCTATTTTATAAGTTCAATGAATTTCCAATTATATAATTTACTAGCAAGATTGTAGAATGCTCTGAAAATTGCAGAATACTTGAGCAATGTCAATGAAATGAAAAGATTACCCGGTACCACAAAAATTCTTGAAGAATCAAGAAACTAAATAATGAAAAGAAATTCAAGCAAGTAACCTTAATCCGTTGCATAACAATGGTATCATTCGACCTTTGCTTTTCAGCGAGTATGATTTCCAGTATAAAGTGTTCTTTAGTTGTTGTTTTTTGCATACATGTCTAAATAATGAAATGTCATAATACACAGTTTACTCAAAATCCATTCATGTCAGTTTCCCCTTCAATTAATTGCCGTCATGAGATTCTGTCACTAGAACTCCAAATAAGGTTTATAGGTCAGGGCCTAATGGACAATGCTTGATGCCACTTTGATTTCTTGAACAAACAGGTGGTAGAGCAGGAACACTCATTCACTTAACTGCAGAATCATGGCACCCTGCTACGACACCCCACCCCCACACCCCACCCCCAGGAACCCAAACCAATTATCTCATTAATGCCAGTCATTCCTCATGTGGAGAAACGTGCTTTGTTTTGATGACGATGACATTTCCAATTAAGCCAATCTGTTCCATTCCATCTGCAAAGACCAATTTGACCTGTTGAGTGTTCACCATATCGTTTGTTCGGAGACAGAAGGACGTCAACTCTGTGGTAAAGTACATGTATGTGAGTTACATGTACCTCCCTTCAGACTCCAAGCCAAGCAGACGATACATGTACAGCGTGTGTCACTTTGACTTGTGTCACGGTACTTGATTTAGTCCTTGGTTGCTTTTAGAGTTACATAACGAGTCAAAGTGATGGATAATAAAAAGTCTTTATTTTTACCCTTACAGGCATTCCAGCCATAGAAATTGTTAATTTACTATTTCCAGGCACATGTAATATTTTCATTATGAATGAATTAATCCAGTGTGAAGGCTCCAGTAACTTATAGGTCCCTTTACTAGTAGTAAGGGAACACTGTGGCTAGAGTGTCAATTAAGAGATTGAAGGTTCAAAACCTTGTCTAGTTTTCTCCCTCTTACCAGAGTAGTAATTGAATACTTGATAAGGTTTTTAACTTTTTATCAAAGAATTAATTTTGTGTTGATATTATCACCTGCTAGAACCGATGCCAGAGTGATAATGTACATGGCACTCTAAAAACATATACTGATTCATATGTGATATGTGCACCATGTATGAAAAACAGACAATAATGTTATTCTTGAAGGTTGAGCACATACATGTAGTTAGCTTAAATACTCTAAAAGTAATGCATTTATACAAATATATTTGTATTTATTTAAAGTAAGGAAAAAGGTCCTTATAGAATGGAAGTTGTCACTGAATAACTGTGAATATCTTTATAACCAGATGGGAATTTCCAAGAAGAGAAACGATCTCATTTCTCAGATTTTACCCATCTGTAAAGTATAGATTTTCAATCTAATTTTGCATTTATCTTTGTATGTTCCAATGTGTTTTCAACCCTATAAGCCCATAGACAAACAAAAAATATCACCTTGGATAGCAACTGCTTGAAGATTAATTACTTGATTTGCGGATCTGAATTCAATCTGATTGGGATTTGTTGCTGTTGTGTGTGTACTAACAAAAATGGGCACAAAGAATTCATAGTTTCTTGAAGTAAGAAGATAAACCATAGATACAGCAGATCGTTTCTTAATCTAGTTTTTATCAGGGTATGTAAGCTAGAGCAGATGAAGCGCAGGGAAAGTTCATGATAACATCTACATGATGTAACTGTAAGACGTCTAAGAAGCTGTAATGAGAACATTAGAAATTGACGTACATTTACACATCTATGTAGAATCTTGATAATCAACTCCAGTTTTCAAAAGCTCCCCCAAAGAGATTAGTCACAGAGATAAATGACATATTAGGTTTGAAAAGTGACACCCAAAGATATGACACAGATGTACACATAGATCATGAAGACATATTGAAGAGATATACATACAGTGTAGCTCATATCAAAATCTAGTTTATAAAGAAGCCCCTGGAGAACAGACAGATACATGTGTGCGCAATGCGCATGTAGTTCATTGTAAAAATCTAGCTTTCATAAGTGCCCCCAAAGATACGACACAGTGTGATGGAATTGATAATCGTGACAGATTTGAGATGCTGTCTCGTGATAAACTCCTATGGTGTAACTGGTTTTAAAGTATTTATAGTTTATAGTTTCCCTGTGTTTTCGCACTTATCTGAAGATCAGGATGGAGTATAGATAAACAACAGGAACCATGTGCAATAAGCATGATAGGAAAGGGCCAATCAGTGCATGTCACCATATCAAATTGGCAACTTTGCTACTTCTTCTGCATCAAGTCTAGAATCCAATTTAGTTGAGGATGTACTAAAAAAACAGAATTCCAGACATTACGAAAATAAGCAAGACAGGAATAGAATGCCCATTATTTTCATCATGTATAATTTTTTCAGTTTTCAACAGGAGATTTTTAAATCTGTTTTTCACTCTCAATTATTTAAGCAAAATATCTTGTAGCTAGTTTGAAAAATGATGAGTGCCATGAAGAGTTCTAGAGCAAGGTACCTGTGAAAACAACAGTGTTGGTCAAATTATGATACAAAAAACAACATCATTTGGCAAGTGATGTTTAAAGACTAATATGGGTGTAATCCTTTTCCAAGTCTTTGCTTTTTCAAGGGGTGATTATTTTTTATATTTGTTGCAGTTTTTGTGTTCTATGAACTTTGTCATTTAATGATATTTTTTCCTCTTATCAAACCAAGGCAATTTCAATAGCCTTGAATGTCACCTATTAAAATGAGCAAAGATGTCAATGATGTATTACGTAATCCTAACATGATTTCTGTGGGACATACAAAGGGTATTGAAATTGCCCTTGAGCTGATTTTTAAAAAAAAATAATTGCGATTGTTTTTATAAAATCTGCTTAATAAAATCATCAGAAAATAAAATTAAGATTTTTTGTTTTTTAATTTCAAGAATTATATTTATGATGCTATTCTATTGTGTAGTGATTGCAGTCTTTCTACCCACAATGCATCATGGTATGTGACGATGGGCAGGAGATATTTTTGTGTGCAATATGTCTGCGTGTTGAGGAAGACATTAAGAGCTACTTCCTTGACTGGCACCGAGGTTTCATGTCATTTGATTTCAGCATTTGTACCAATAGATAAAAGATATAATTTTATGATGTAATCATTGTATGAATCAAATCGATTATGATTTGAGAACCAAGGGGTTAATTTTGTTTTCTTGTTGTGGGAAGGGGAGGGGAGGGGGCCATGTCAAAACTTATTTTGACAAGTCAGCAATGAAATTTGATTTTGAAACTTATATGAAATATACTTTGGTTCTTGGAAATGTTACCGGGATGTATTTTTTTAAACCCTGCATATTCTAACCAAAATGAATATAATGGTGATTGCTGTGGTGTTTTATGTGGGCTTTTTTCTTCTTCAAAAGATGTCATGCAGTTTATTGGCAGTGATGTTGCTAAAGGATACCACACATATTTAAACATTCATGTCTAAGTGAGAGGAGCCCCAGATGACAGATGTAGATAATTTCTGTAAGAGCATACACATGGGTTGGTGGGGGAAGGGGTTGGTACAATCATGGACTTATCAACTAATAAGTCCATGGTACAATGTACAGTGAAACCTGTATATAAAGACCGCTTGAGGGAAACATGAGAAGTGGTCTTTATAGACTGTGATGGTCTTTATGTACAGGTTCCTTTTAGTACAGGTTTCAACAAGCAACCATGTTCAAAGGAAATGAAAAAATGTGGTCTTTATAGACAGGTGGTCTTTCTACACAGGTAGTCGCTAAATCAGGTTTAACTGTTTTGGCAACAGAATAGCAAGTAAATGAAACATGGTGTGGTTTTATGCTATTCTCATCCTTGAGATCAATCAACTTTCATTGTTAGGAGGGTATTGCTTATATTATCTTTGTATAGATACATAAGTGCTGAAACTATTTTGTTTATAATGCTCTTTAGCATGGTTATTGTTCATGTTTAGTAAGCATACTTACTGTGTCTTGGCGTGAAGTACAAGTCATGTATGCAAACACGAGTCATGGTAACTATGTTTGTAATGGGTTCAATGTAATATACACACGTAGCCACATAAATTGCACTGGGAAATAAACCGTCCAGTTGTTATCTCTTTATGCAATGAATTTTAATGAATTATGTCATATTTCAATTTGAATTAGATCCCATTTTATGCAATGAATACACATGAATCGCAACATTTTATTAATTGAAATTTCAGTTTGACTGCACTGTTTATAGTAACTCTTTGCATTCTGATGTCAGACCCTTCCAAGGTTGTGAATCACTATTAGATTGATGACTGAATAGCGACGCGGCAATATTTCTTATAAATGCTTGTTTTGCCATGCATTTAAACATTGATTTTGTCTTCGTGTGAGTCATACTGTTTTATGTCATCTGAAGAATTATGAAGTCGTCATATCCATCCCTGTTGATTGATAAAAGGGCGGCATTGTTCGTTATTGTAGTGATGTTTTGTGGCGTGGTTTTGGGAAGAAAATAGTCATTGCTATTCTCCTCTTATACTCTCTGCATACCAAATATAGTCTTAATTTAGGAATGACGGATGTTTGTAAGAATCATTTGAAAACAATAAATCTATGCAAGGATGTGTAACAAAACGTCTTGTCTATCGCTTATTTGCCTCACTCTCTTTCGAGATCAAGATTGTCAGGGCTTCGTCGAAACCAAACGAGTGATGCCGATTTATGAAGACAAATGATGACATTTTATTTTGTGAAGGTCCTTTAGAGTTCACTTGTGAGGTGAAGGTATGAAGATATATAGAGGTGTACTAGATGCAGGTGAAATCATAGGAGTATGTAAACTTGATGTAAACGAATTGGAGATCTGCAAGACTTATCATTCAGCCATTTGTGAGTCATACTTTTATGCTATATAGTTTTTCCCCTCCATTATTTCTTCCAGTGTTGTATATTATCCACAAAATCAATCTATTTATCTAGATATCGAGAACAAAAATAATGCCAATCATAATCCTTTAATTTTCTCCCCAACTCTTAACAATACAGGGCTAGTGTATTTGTAGATTTTTTCCTATATACAAAAGTTTTAAACTTGTTAAATAAAGCGTTTTCCAGAATTATTGTTCTTCCAATACAAATCCACGGGAGCTAAAGCTTCAACTTTATTAAGGCTCGTAGTAGTAGTGTTATTTTGAAGGGTTAATTTTGTTGTTTGTTCCTTTAACAAAAAATTGTAATTTATGTAAAACCACAGATACATGGAATAGAGATCAGATTATTTTGATCTTACACTCAAAACATGTTTGCCTGTCACGCAGGCCTAAATTCAAGGCCTAAAATAATTGGGACAGAAAATTACAATCACGCGTATATAAGTCAAGAACAATTGCAAGGAATAATTGTTTCCAAAAGTGAGGAAAAAATATGTTCTTTCTGACAAGCATAGTGAACGAACACTAATCAATCATTACCATGACAACTTAAATTCATGGCGAACCACTGGAATAATTTTGATAAATCGCTCTTTGTGATCATCAGTCGGTGGTTGAAGGATATTCTGTCAAGCCGGTCTGTGAAGAAGTCACGAGTTTGATGAACATAATCATTTTTAGCAGAAATACGTATCTTTTTATTTTTTTGTTCGCTTACATTTATCACGCCCACAAAATGTATCATTGATTTTAATAATACGAGTAATGATAATGTTACTACTATTACTACTTTTAATAATAATAGTAACAATAATTATAGTAATCATCATCATCATCATCGTAATCATAATAATACTAATACATGTATCACAAAAATAATGATAATAATAATACTAATAATAATAATGATAATAAGAATATTAATAATAATAAATAATAATAAATTCAAACGGTACAGGCCTACTTTTAAAGCGATTTCCACCGAAGTCTCTATAAGCGAATTATAACAAACAAAATACAATGATACACAATTACATATTACACAAAACAAAACATTCCAAATTAATAATAAGCAGAAGAAGAAGAAGAAGTAACAGGATTTATGAAGCATCAACTTTAATTTATTGTGTTCAAGAATCGCAATTACGTAATAAAATTGTCAATTTTGTCTTCAATACCAAAAGTGAGAGAGAGATAGTTTGAGAGAAAGAAATGAGGTTTCTTGGATCGGTAGAGAAGGAAGCGAAACAAGATTGTCGAGAAAATATTCTTTGGATACTGTGATAATTAGTAGTGATGATGGATGACGAATACGATGTTATTTGGACACAAACAAATATGACGTCTTCTTATAACTTACCTTACTAGTCCGTTTCATCTTGTAATCGAGGGTTGTACGTGAGTCGGTCTCATGGTCGTTTCTCTCAGGGTAGTCTGCATACACAACAAACAAGTAGGAGTTATATATCGTCAGTCGCGTCCTACGGGTAAATCAAGGTCGATCCCAATGATCATCTGATTGAATAAACGAGAGATGGAAAACCCAATAAAAAATGTCTGTGGTAAACAATGTTTTTATCAAATAAAATCTTCCTGTGTTATTTTTATCATCACGGTTATGCCTGTTTTATTTTCATATAATTGAAGATGCTTTATGTAGGACTAAATGAAACACGGTCGCAACTAAAAATTGAGAAATTCCAAAAATACATTTTTTTTTTAATGACGTCACACTTCACCAATTGAAATGTGGGAACATGACAATTATGTATTAAGTAATCCGAACTTGATTTCTATGGGACATAAATAGCGTACCGAAATTGCCCATGAGTTTTTTTGAAAATACATGTAGTTAGTTGCGATCTTGTTATGCTGGGGACGTCTATACATTTTCACTACCTAATACAGTAATGTCTGCTTGGAGTCAGAATTCAGAAGAGTATACACTTCATGACAAATGAATAATAGTTAACACCCTCCTGCATGGCTCCAAACAGACACAACATTATGTACAAATAGTAACTT